CATCAGAGTTGTGGCTGATATGCTACTCTGGTACATGTGTATATTCATGCTTTTCAGTATTTCTGAGCACTTCTGTAAGTGGGACATAATTCTCTGTTTACCGTTGTGGATGTGACTTTTTCAGTGCTTGAATGAATGCACTTCTGTGATGCCTTTAAATAGTTATCAGTAGTCAAGCTGATTTTGTTTGAACATGTCACTAGTGGATACCAATTATGTTCAACAGAATTACTCTAGAAAGGATTAAATAACTAATTCCAGGTACAAAACCAGGATAGAGGCGTTGGCTCATTTATTTTTATCTCAGGGTTAATTCTACCCATTAATCAGGGCTGGATACACTTGTAGACTGTATTTAGCTTTGTGGTTTTGCTTTATGCTCTTTAACCTAGATGAAGTGCATCCACTTGCAGTATTTACCGTAGGACCTACTCTGAAGTCAGTTAATGGATTTGAGAGAAACTGACATAAGCATGAAATAAACTGATTTACAAAAGAAATATTTTTAATAATTTTTTTTTTCAGTTATCCTTCCTTCTCCTCTGTCTTTTTATGTTACAGAAAGTTGGGAACAGGAAATATTGAATAGAAGAAAGCAGAGAAGAAAGCTACTTACGGTCTTCATAGTGTCTCTTCCTATACAGTTTTCAATAATCTTCTTTACAAACAACAGTCCTACTGTCCTGTAGCATAAACTGTTCTGTATAAATGTTGTTTCTCTTTAGAGAGGACAAAATGGTTGTGCACTTTAGCTGATAATCATTAATGATCTTGCCATTTGTTTCAGAGTAATCTCAGGTGAATATGTGTTAATTCACTAGTTCACAACTGTTCTTGATTTGAAGGAAGATTTGATAGTTTTCAGATTGCCTTAGAACAGCATGATAAAATGCTTTAGTTCTTGCGAATGAGTGGGAATGCACTAAAATAATTACGGGAAAGTTGTCTTAACCATAACCAGTAGAGAACTGTTTCAGATCTATTTCCCTGTTAAGCTTATTATGTATATATATTTTTTTACTTTTTTGCTGTTTGATATGTACAAATGAGAAATTGTTGCTGTATTTCAGCTTTTTGCGATTATAATAATAAATATTGCATACACATATTTTCACTTTACAAAAATTAAAATTTATTTGCTTTATTTCTTCTGGAAGTCTGGTAATACTGAACCTACAAATTTACAGAAGTGATATTAGAAGGCAGTTTTGTTATTTATCTTTTGTAAGAGAGAAAGTAAATATATGTTAAAAATGTAATTCGAACACTTGTATGAAAGTTGTAAAAGAGCCAGTCATAAACCTGGAGCGTTATCTGGGCTCCAGCTATGCAACACAGTTAATTTCAATAAATGAGTATAACGGTGAATTAAGGTTCACCTGTGTTTTCCCTCTTCCAGTGACCACTCTGTGGTCATGACCTTCATTCCCCGACAGAACAGAACGATGTATTTGGATTTAGAGATAACAACCGCAGGCAGCCCTGCGAAGCCAGGACTGGAGCCTGAATTGCTGAGACCGAAGGGGAAGGCGAGAGGTGCTGGACCGTGCTGGAGGCTGGATCCCATTTTGGCAATGTGACATCACCAGACCTGTCAGAGGAGCTGGACCTGAGCCGTGGACTGGATGGGCTCCAAATACCCAGGGCACCTTTTCCTATAAAGAAAACCTCCAAATTTTGAGCTTTGTGTTTCATTCTGGTTTTGGGCAAAGTGACTTTTTTAACTCCTCAGAAGGTAAATATCTATACAAAAGTAAAAAGCACTGTGTCCCTTATTAAAGCTTTGTAAAATGGTAAGTTTGAGAGCTTTAGAAAATCTCAGGTTACACAGACAATTTATCTCTTCACTAAAACAAACTTTAATGGTAATGAAATATAAAATGTGTTTCTATGGCAGTGTTTTTCTAAAGTGGCTTTGCAAATGTGTGCCTTAGAAATAGCAGGTATTGACAGAATTAGTGTCACTGTATGGCCTCCCCAGTGAGAGACACTGGCCACTGGTTTATGAAAGGTGAAGCATTTCCTAAGATTGTCTGTAATGTGCAAATGTATTTTCAAATATATTAAAATGTGTTATTCAGAAGCGTTTAGCTACTGTGTTAAAGAATCATGATGCCATTTGTGAACGGTGATGTTGAAGAGGGAGTTTTTCATTTAGTCGTGTCGAGCTGTATTGTCTTTGAGAAGCTGGGATTTATCAAAGAAAAACACAAGGGGACAAAAAGATGTACAACCTGGAATGAAGCTGAAAATCATAGAATCATAGAATGGCCTAGGCTGGAAGGGACCTTAGAGATCATTTTAATCCAGCCTCCCTGCAGGGACACCACCTGTCAACTAGATCAGGCAAGATCAGGCAACACATGGGGACCAAACAGGAATCGAGCCTACAACCTTGACGTTGTTAGCGCCACGCTCAACTGACTGAGCTAACCGGCCCCCTTAATGGCACGTTAATTATCCAGAACCCTTACCCGTCCTCCTCCTGCTGATGGTGCTACACAGAGCAGCATCCTGGAGGCAAACACGTCACTGCCATGCAGGATCCATCTCCTACCTGAGCTGACAGAAGCAGCATCAGGCCATTTCCAAAAACAAAGAAGGCAAATTTTGCCTTTTCCAGGCAAATCCTGGGCTGCATTAGGAGGAGTGTTGCCACCAGGATTGAGGGAGGTGATCCTTCCCCTCTGTCCACCACTGGTGAGGCCGCACCCAGTGCTGTGTCCAGCTCTGGGCTGCCCCAGTACAGGAGACATGTGGCATACTGGGGGGAGTCCAGTGAAGAGCCACTAAGGTGGTTAAAGGACGAGCATTGCTTCTGTGAGGAAAGGCTGAGAGTGTGCTGGTCTCGGCTGGCATAGGGTTCATTGTCTTCATAGCAGCTAGTGTGGTGCTCTGCGTTGGATTTGTGCTGGAAACAGTGTTGGTAATACAGGGATGGAAGTTTTTGTTACTGCTGAGCAGCTCACAGGAGTCAAGGCCTTTTTTGCATCTCACTCCACCCCACCAGCAAGCGTGCTGGGAGTGCACAAGAAGTTAGGAGGGGGCACAGCTGGGACAGCTGAGCTCAACTGACCAAAGGGGTGTCCCACACCATGTAACATGCTCGACATTAAAAGCTGGGGGGAGAATGAGAAAGGAGGGCTGTAGTTAGGCTTCTCTCACAACCTTACACATGCAGTCCAGTCTGAAGAAGTGGTTCCTGAGAATGGATAGAGGGAAGAGTTTGAAGGTTAATTCTTATCTGTGTGAAGTAAAATGTTGGTGAAGCATGCTTGTGCATTATTTCAGACTTCTCATCCTGTTCAAGTAAGGACCTTTAGTGGAAATGTATTTATTTCCATTTTTATTTTTACATCTAATACAGCAATCTAGCAGAGAGAAGTATTTTGTAAGTGCTGTGGCAAGACAAGAAAGACAGAGAAATATTAAATTTTAATGGCAAGATTGCTTATATGTTTTTTATTTGCGTGTGAATAATGGAATTTGGCTTCTTGTAAGGGATAATGGTGAAATACAGTGATTTGCTCTGGTGTTTTCATTTCAAAATGAGGTATGTAATGAAAGAGCTGTAGGAAGAGTATTTCCCTTGAGAGTATTGATCTGCATCTGTACATTGCATGATTCTGTCTTGACAGACTTTGATCCATTACTCCTGCTTGGAAAGCATGACAGGACTTCCAGTCATATCCTGTAGTGCCTTCTGGAACTGTATTTAAATAAAGGTCTTTTCTAATGTGAGAAAACATGTTATAGTCAAACTGAAACAGAAAGTCCGATTTTGCTTCCTGGGAAGTACTAAGCTGTTTAGGTCAGTACCTAAACTGGGCCTGGGGGAGAGTACTGAATACCCTCAGGCAAAACTGTGCTATATTTTGACAGATGATCATGTGCCTGTTTCTGGGCATGTTCTGTGAGCCTGTATAGTTTAATAGCCGAGAGACAGCTAGACTCCTCTCTCTGGGAAGACTCGACTGATGATCTATTGGGTGTGAGGAAGATCTGTTGGGTGTATTTGAGGATGACACTTAAAATCTGTGCCTACCTCATCCAGAAAGTGGTCCTGTGCTGATACACCAGCTGTGCTCAGGTTTTCCCACACAGAAAGTTTGGTAGATTGGTTGAGCTGGACCAGAGGCTGTGCTTGCTTGTAAACAAGGAGAGAAGCACCCAAGTTTGGATGTGCCTGTGGAGCAGGTAATGCACTTACCTGATACTGTGGCCAGAGCTATATATTACTGGGTATCTCTATTCAAGTGTTGCATCTCAGCAGCATTGGTTCCTGTTTCACTGTAAGCTTTACACATGAAGTCCTTTAGCATCTGCTTGATCTACTTCAACA